GATCAAAATTGTAAATCTCAGATTTAGGGTAATAAAAGTATATAGAAATAAGAAAAAGAGAATAAATATAATATTTAAGGTATAAATATAAGATTTAGGATAATAATATAAAGTGAGATAATTATATAATTGGATAAAAATAATGATAATCAGATAATAAATTATAAAAATTAAGAAAAAGAGAATTTCGCATAATTAAAGAAAGATTATCGAATTAGAGAAATTTATGTTACTACAGTAACAATACTCCTGAATTTAAGCAACCCTCTACATTATCATTTTGAGATTGCAGAAATCCCTTAAAAAATACTGGATAGGAGTCAGATAAATAATAATCAAGGATATATGCATATGTGTACAATTGTGAAATGAATAAAAAATGTGCCTAACGTTATGCACAAAATTAAAATTACTGATTTTGAATTTTTTTTTCACTATCGATATTTTCTTCGCATCATGGTCTGCCTACCTTGCCAACATTATTCAACTCAACATAAAAAATAAGCACTAACTCTGGTAATGTTAGTACCAAGCCAACTCAGGTTAAAAAACGCATACAAAGAACTGCATATAAGATATCTGAAAAGCTTGTCATTATTCATGAAGCTAAAAAGATTGGCATTTTGACTGCAGCACATTATTTTGGTGTTGACAAATTGATAGTGTCATGGTGGATGCCTAAAGAGGAAAAGTTTAGTAACGCAGTATCAAAAAATCGATGTGTTAGTGCAGGAAGAATTGCTGCTTATCCGGCAGCCGAAGAGGAATTTGTCAATTGGATTCGTGAGCTTCGACTTGTTAAAATTGCGATAACACCTGCAGCTATCAAAATGCAAATAATAACTATCCTTAAAACAACCTGTTCAGATCATTATTCAGACGCTGCTAATAAGTTTCATGTTTCTGATTCTTGGTTTTATCAGTTTTTAAAGAGACACAATCTTTCATTCTGACATCACAATAAAATTGGTCAAAAGTTACTCAAAGATCTCAGTAAAAAAATTATCAAATTTGTAATCCAATCTCGGTTAACTTACAAGTATGATCTTTCTCACATTGTCAATATGGATGAAACACTGATTTACTTTGACATGGTTAGTATTACTACAATTGATGTAAAAGACACTAAGACTGTTCATATTCAAACAATTGGTAATGACAAAAATCAGTTTACATGTGTTTTGACTATTACAGCTAATGGTGACAAACTTCCTCCTATAAAAATTTTCAAAGGTGTACAAATTTTTGCCAATCTTTCTTGAGATATTGTGGTGTGCATGCATGAAAAAGCTTGAATAAATGAACATTTAATATATGAATGAATTGAACAAATTTGAAATAACAAAAAAATCTCAATCATTACTTGTTATAAATTTATTTAAAGGACACAAAACTGAATCTGTACACCACAAATGCAATACCAATAATACTCACATCATAATTATTCCAGGAAAATTAATATCTATTGTATAATCTTTAGATATATATATATCAACAAACTGTTTAAAGACAAATTAAGAGAAAAATAGCATTTGTGAATAAGTAATAGTGAATATCAATTAACAAAAAATAAAAATCTGGATATAATTTAATTTGCCAATGGATTTTAGAGATATAGAATAATATTCCTATAGAAATAATCATTAAATCATTTAAAAAATGTGATAATTCTAATATATTAGATGAAACTAAAGATAATTTATTATATGATTCAGATATAGAAACAAGTAGAATAGAAGAAATTAATAATATAGCTGAGATAGTTAATAAAGATGAAAGTTCTGCTAATGAGTTAAAATATAGTGAATATTAATAAAATTATTTTATCTATTAGATAATAATTTTAATAAAGAAGTTATTTATTTAACTTTTTCAAGACTTTTTGATCTGAAGAGAAAGAAATTACTTATTTTTAGAGGTTGCTTAAATTCAAAAGTATATAATATATATAATATCACTCTCCTGAAATGATATAATTTACTTCACTTTGTAACTATATATAAAATTAGATATATTAATATAAAGCTTGATAATTAATTTTATTTTTTATTTTATAATGCTTAGAATATTTCTTTATAACTTTAATCTTATTTATATATATAACTTTTGATCCTGAATTGAAGAAACAAAAAGTATTTATATCAGAAATATCAGAATCAAAGTCAATATTTGAATTCATAAAATACTAGATTTTATCTTTCTTGCTCATATTTTGGTGTGAGTTAGAAGAAGCAAAGTCATAGAATTTATCAATATTATTTTTAGTAACATGCACTATAACTTTTTTCTTAATATTAAAATCTTTAATATATAGAGTCATTCTTATTTAGATATTCTCTGTATTAGTTATAATTTCAGATATATATTTGTAATTCATCATTATTATATTTTGATTATAGAAATAATTTTTACTGAACAGAATATAATTAAATAATGTAGAGTTATATTTTTCAATTAGCACTTCAGTTAGAATTATAAAAATTTCTTGTTGCTAGGTTGAGTATTATCTTTTAAGTTAAAGATAAATTTCTCATTTAATTTTCAATTTTTGTTTTCTTTTAATATTATTTAGTATTATTTGTAAATAATAATATAATTTAGAATTATATAAATCAAAATAACTATTAAAAATGTATCAAAGAAGAGTTTCTTATTACTAGAACTCTCATGCTCTGATTTATAAAAATAATAAAGTTCTTATTTGTGATATTATACTTAATTATCTACAAATTTTGACTTCAAGTAGTGGATACTCCTTCACTTTAAATAAGTTATTGACTTTATTATTTTAGTTTTATTATTTTTAGGCAGTCTCAATAAGTTCTATTATTTTATTTTCTTTATTGGCAATCTCAATAAGTCCAATTAATCATTTTGTTTTATTAGGCAGTCTCAATAAGTACTGTTATTTTCTTTAATAGTTATTCTATTTTATTATATCCTTTTCTTTAATTTTTCTCTTTGTCCCTATATTTATTTTTGGTAGTAAGTTAGTTTGTGTACAAGCTACCAAGAAGATCTTTAGAATATTTAGTGAACCCCATTATTTGTAAAACATTCAGTCTTTGTTCTTTCACTATTATATTTCTTCATTAATTCATTAATTATAACAATTTCTGAATTAACGAGAACAATATTTTATATTTTTATATATAATTTTCGTCATCATGTACTATCTGAAAAATTCTGCACAACCGATTAATGTTAATTAACATCATATAATCAAATTAATTATTTGGCAACTTTATGAACTGGTTTGAATCAGTTTAGCTTGAATACTGACTGAACCAGTAGTAAAACTTAGACTTGTTGCAAATAAGATAAGGTCGCTTGCTGAAACCTATAATAAAATATTATGTACAGGTTTTACAATGCCAAGACTGTATTAAAATTATACTAACAAACTTATCAAATCTGGAGATTTGAGGTTTTGGCAAGCAACTTTAGTTACAAGCCTATCGAACTGAAAAATTAAAATAAAAACTAGTTCAATATTTATTTTTCGATTTACTATTATACTACTAATATTTCTATTGATACCGAGATTTAATGTTGATGATTGTTATTAGTGCGAGAATTCATTCCTAATTTTTTTTGATTTCAAGTCTTTCGTTGCCTTTGTTTGCTTAATCCCAAGCAAGCAATGAAGGATTCACTAATACCAACAATAAAAAGCAATCTATCCGCCAAATCACACACAACACCACCCGTCAAGTACTGTGACAAAATGGCAGCGATGATTGAAGTTGTGCTTTCATTGATTTTATTTTTAAAACAAAGAAATAAACATTAATCTTACAGATCTTCGTCCACATCTAGATCTTGTGCTACTTTTTTTAACCAATCATTACACTAACAAATACATGTGATTATTTGGTTATAAAAATAATAACATGCCTTATGTTCCTCCTGATCAATTTTGCGCGCTGAAGTTATTCTCTGCTTCATGGCTTCACGATACTTTGATCGACCGAAAAATCGGACAGACCCATCTGAGATAATAAAATAAACATTTTTAGTAATAAGTCTGTATTAGAATACGACGCGAAAAAATCTTTTGACAAATTTTACGATATAATATAATTTCTTCAAAACTACACAACATCAAGTTTTTTCTTTCTCGTTGAACGACCACTTCGATGTACATATATCTATATTTTATGAAAAAATTACTTATAAAATAGATACTCAATAAAAATGTTCCACGGAGATACCAGTTCCACCAATACTACGAGCAACGACATCACTAGTGATCATGACAGCTTTCGGATTTTGTGTTACTATTGTTTAATATGAATAAAAAGTCAATTAAAGAGATTTACCTTCAATCGTTGTCTTTATTGCAGTCCCAGTGTTTGATTCCCAAGACCACTTCTCATAATCGACCAACAATTGAATTCGAATGTATATCCATTAGTTGTCGCTGCTTTGAACTGCCATATCGCTGACAAGTGTTATGATGGAAAATTTTCATGTATTCAAAACTAGGTAATTAATATTAATTCAATAACCTTGACGTCACTAAACTTTCCAATGCTCAATATATGATACCGCCAATTCTCTAGTCGGAGTAACAATTAATGCCACAAGCTCGTTTGTGCGTTACCATCAACATCTCTCAACTTTTCTCCGATAGGTTTATTAAATACTATAGAATAGGAAGTCCAAATACAAGTGTTTTCACTGATCCAGTTTTTATCACCTCAATTATCACGTCCAGATAATCCATGGCAAAGTTTTCTTTTGAATAGGCGTGGGCTCAGAGAATTGAAGTGATTTTAAGACGAGTATGATGTTTAAGCAGAGTCCAAAATCAATCCATGCTGATGCGTTAAAATCTATTCAGTATATAGAATGGTGGTTAAATACATGAACAAATATAATGTAGGAATCAATGAATATTTATTGTTACGTATATGCTGAGATTAACATCTTTTACAAGAGCATCCTTTTTATTTTGTTTGATGGCAGTATCTATTTTCCCCTTGGACTTATTCTTACCTCAACATGACTCACACTATTCTGATCTTTCACTTTCATTTTCGCACCCATCAAAAGTATCAAAATATCATCGATCCCCATAATTCATCGTCACTTGTTATTATTTCTCCTCAATTGTTAATAGTTCTTCAGGATTTGCCACACGAGATTTTTATTATAAGTTACTTTCTAAACGACAATAATTTCGCAAAAAAAATCAATATTCAATTATCTTTGTTTACAAAGACATCAATGAATTTAATTAATTATCTTAATACTTTAAACTTTATAATTCTTCCAAACTTTTTACTTCCTTCACGTACAACATCAAAATCATCACACTCCTCCAAACACAAATTCCTTCTAAATCTTCATCTCCAAGAGCTATTTTTTGACTCTTTCCAATTCCAGTTATACATGTCACCGGATCACTACTGACATTTACTTCATCAATATTAACCATCCATCTTATTTTCTTTTTTACATGACTAGCTTTCTTTAGATTTAAAATTGTTAAAGGCAGCATAACTGATAAAATTTTACAAAATTCTTATCTTCAAATAATACAGTTTGAGATTTTTGTTTATCTATTCCTGTGCATGACGTTTTGAGATGCCATCTTTGAATTTATTTTATTAGCGTTAGCGTTAATGATTATGTGTGTTTATTTGAAAAATGATGATTTATATCAATATGTGTTGAAGTCGTCGTTCGTGTTTGTATCGATTTATGCAAATACATACACCCAACAACATGCATTAAATGATGAAGAGTTAACATGCACGAAGAATGAGACAGGACACATAAAAAGAAGGCTTTTATAACTTTTATTGTGCAAATAGTAAAACATTCTTTTTTAATATACATGTAATTTTAAAAAATATGCACGTGCATATATAAATTTTAAACACCGATGTCAAAGTATTAAATTTATCAAATTAACATTTCCTCCCTATGTTGTTATTTTTTTTACTCATTAAGTAATTAAAACAGTCTAACCCCTATATAGTCACTTCCTATATAGTCACAAACTTTATGTAGTCACATTTTTTCAGTTCCCAACTCACTATAAACCATAAGAAAATTGACCTCCATATAGTCACAACCTCCCTATAATCACAGTTTTCATATCCCGAGAGTGTGACTATATAGAGGTTCGACTGTAAATAAAGAGATAAGAATAATGTATAACATTGCAATTTAAACAACGCTAACAATTTGATTTCCACTTCTTCTCCTGTGCCTTCTTTTTGTACAATTCTATCATATTTAATAAACTTTCTATTAAACAACTAATGAGCTCTTTTTTCTCTTACTTGAATATATAGTAAGGTTCATTTAACAAATATGCTGAGATCGCGAGTTAGCGACTCTAATTCCCAGATCACTGTATTCAAATCGCGCTCGATCTAATGATGTCTTTTAGTATTTTCTCAATTTAGTCATATCTTGAAATTTACCGATTCATCAGTAAATCGAGCCCTGACTGTAATCACTCCGTGGTGCGTTCATTAGATAACTTTTCTTTGACTATGGTTTAATTTTGTTGAATATTACAAAAGATTTGACTCGCCTTTTTATTGAGTCATTTGTAATGATTCGGATCGAGCAAAAATCTTCTGCTCGCCCGTTCGTAAAATTATCAGCCCGCCTCGAACTGCTCGATCCGCTGACGAGGAGATATTTCGTGCTGTATGATAGATAAATTAATCGTTATGGTTAATTGATTGGGTTACGATTAGGGTTATTCGAGAACGGTTTGTACATGTCTAACCACAATTATCACGTGAAGATTGATCATATTTCGCAGATATGATTGATTCATTCAATTGACTTTATGCAAGTAAATGAAAATATCTGACCCCGTACAGTTCACCCGGCCCGCCCCGCTCGAACCGACCCGCATCACTAATTCAGCTTGAACATCTTCCAGTTATCTTCTCAAATAATTTCACCCGTGTAGCTAAATGAATCATTTAGCTACACGAGTGAAATTATTTGAGAAGATAACTGGAAGATGTTCAAGCTGAATACAAGTAGAACCCGGCACAAGTGAAAAAGGGAGGCTCTACCCATATTAAACCTTCGGATAAACTTCTACATTTTTCAATAGTTTTACGAGAGTTTGTTATTGTTGTATCACAATTCAGGGGGAAACCTCTAATAACTAGAAAAAAATGGAAGTTTATCTAATGATTTAACAGAATCCAAGTGTGTTAAAGATATGTAAACCTTTTTTTTTCTACCTGCATCTTTAGTCATTTTTCGAGTTTATTATTTAGTTATGCGAGTACATATAACTATTAACCTATATGAATACAGATTAAATAAATTTTTGTTCTGAATAACTAGTGACTACGTCCAAACCCGTTGATTCTGTTTTTAAATTTCCGAGTGCAGCAATTGTGTATGGCAGTAAAAAATGTAAATGGAATGAAATTGCAGTTATAACTTATGTAATGAAAGATTGATTTTTACGTGTTTGTTTGAAATAATTGTAGTTAATTATATCTGTATGAATTGATAAGATTTTAGAAAATTCGAAATTGTGCTCATATTCTTTTTACTTTATATTATTAAATGAAGAAAATTTAACAGGCCAAAACTTTGGTTCTATCATTTTATAACAAGTTTTGATTTGACTTGATCGTTCGTTATATTATAAGGAAACTAGACATATTTTCCTCTTCACAGCCAGCAGATAAGGTCCACAACACTAGCATCAAATGTTGTTGTCATAATGCTTCTCTTAGACGAATTCAAGAAAACGATATATTGAATTGAAAATTCATAAGAGCCCCTGTTTATTATAAGAAAAAATATTGATTCTGACCTGCATACAAACATCATAAATTAGTTTTAACATTTTAAAAAGAATCTATAAAATATGTCTAACAAATTTTCAAGAAACTGTAGTCGACTTCTCAAAAGAGCTGTTTGGTATAGAGCCTGATAAGAGTCTTCACAACCCATTCGGTCATTCTTCATGATAAATCTAGTTATTTAATCGCTTTCTGATAATTAGGCTCGAATTGAAGATTGATTAAGAAACTAAGGTTATAACTATTATTTAGAAAAACTACGGTTCGCAGTCTCAAGACCATGCGAATTCTTAAGAAAATCAGATCTGATCATTACTTATTTTTTCCGTGATTAATTATTTTTACATGGTTAATTGTTTAACCTGATTAATTATTTTTACATGAGTGACTGGTAGTTAAAAGCTTCCTAATAATGCTACTAATGAGTAAATACGATGGGTGAATTTATGAATTTTTTGTCAAGAGACTTTAGTCGACTCCTCGAAAAGAGCGATAATTTTGACGTTTCCATTGAAATTGGAGTCGAACCTGATAAAAAAGTCTTTAAGGCCCATTCGGTCATTCTTCGTGCTAGGTCCAGTTATTTTGATCGTGCACTTTCCAGCAAATGGGCTCAAGTTGAAGATGGATCAATTAAATTCAAGAAAACTGACATTTCGCCAGCTGTTTTCTCAGTAATTTTGAAGTAAGTACAAAGATGGTTGCGAAATCTACTCATACAATTTCATTTCTATAAAATAATAAGACGGCTGCAAAATTTATTCAAACAATTCTTTTTAATAAGCTACTTGTATGGCGGCAAAATCTCGCTCGACCAATACAGCGCTTCACTTATTCTCGAGATGCTGGTTGCTGCGGACGAATTCAATCTCGAAGATATTTTCGAACACATTCAAAAATATTTGATTAATAATAGAAGAGCTTGGCTACAACAAAATTTAGCTCATGCTCACCGTATTGCTTTGGAGCATAGTTCTTTTAACAAGCTTCAAACTTTTTGTATGGATATTCTTCTTAAAGAACCCGAAAAAGTATTTCAATCTAAAGATTTTGGATTGCTTCGGGAAGAAATTTTACTAAGACTTTTAGAAATTGACGAAATTCGTATGGAAGAATTCGATATCTGGAATTTAGTAATTGATTGGGGGCGCATACATAATCCGAATTTGCCTGACGATGTTGCAGATTGGAGCGACGAACAATCTGAGGCCATGAAAAATACGCTCGCTCGAGCTTTGCCACTTATTCGTTATTTTGAAATTTCGTCAGAGCAATTCAGTGAATTTGTTTTACCTTATCAACAGATCCTCCCAAATCATTTAGCTCATAGTATTATCCGTTATCACCTAGCTCCAAATCAACCTCTTGCAGAAAATATTATGCCAGCACGACGAGGAAATATCAATTCAAAAATAATCTCTTCTAAACAAGCAGCCCTTATCGCGAGTTGGATTAACCGAAATCGTGAATTACCGGCTTTCGGATGGCGTCCTTATGCTGCATCTGAAAATCCGTATGAATTCAAACTATTGATGAGAGGCAGTCAAGATGGGTTTACTGGTCAACATTTTCACTCTCGTTGCGATAACAAAGGAGCAACAGTTACAATAGCCAAAGTTAAAGATACCCATGAAATACTTGGTGGTTATAACCCTTTGAATTGGCTTTGTGATGGAAAGTATCAATCTACAACAAATAGTTTTATTTTCTCGTTTATTAATAGAAACGCAGTCGTTAGTCGCGTAAGCAATCAATATCAATCTTATGCTATTTATTGCTGCACCGATAATGGACCTCGTTTCGGTAATGATCTTGCTTTCAATGGGGATTTTAAGAATCAGCAATCGAGTTATTGCGTTCAAAATTACTATGAACTTTCTGTGAGACCAACTGCGAGCTCAAATAATTTTTCAGTAGATGAGTTTGAAGTCTTTCAAATTGTCAAAAAGCAATTAGTCAACATCTGATAATTTTATCATACAGATACATATTGTTATAATACATAAATGACTGAGAAATTTATCTCAAAGCTTGTCTATATTAGGTTTTTTTTATTTAGAAGATTACTTTAGAATTTTCTTATAAGACGCAAATGTTTTGTCTATTAATTACAAATATAAAGAGAAGAAACCATCAGACAGAAAAAGTATTCTATTTGGTTTTGGAAAAGTTCAATTTGAAATTCAAACAATTCAACTTAATTATTCATAGTTTAAATAAATTTAATATAATCAATTTTTGCCAAACCATTCTGACAGGAAGAATGTCCAAATAGTGTCTTTATAAAGGATAAATGAATTCGTCTGAGGCATTTGCCAGCCAAATAATTTCATATGTGCCATTAATGTGAAGGAAAAGCACGAGCCAAGTAGACTGCAATTATTTGATGAAATTTAAATATTTACTAAAGCTCAGGAAAAACAAAAGTTCCTTTATGAAGGCGAGATTCCTCTCAACTAACAGAGTGCTTCATTTGTTCTTGAGTTCCGATAAATTTAATACACAGTCGTTATCAATATCATGGGGATTAATATAACAGTGAGCGCTCTTTACAATAGCGTAATCTAGGGAAAGGATTTTGTGTTATTATATCGAATTAGTATTAAAAATACTTAACTACATGTATATGATAAACTAATTTGATGAATGTTATTATTAGGTTATCGTTATTGTAAGGAGTGTAATTTATTATCATTTGGAATTTGTTCTGCAGCTAACAACGGGGGTTGATATTATTGTTATCGGTGTTGATAACAATACTTTTATAATATTAATTGACAATTAGTCAAGTTGAAAATTTATGTATGGATATCCATAATGAACCTAAAAAAATATTCCTATCAAAGGCTTTTAGATGTTTCACGAAAAAAATAGAAGAAACTTGTTGATTGAACAGGACGTGTTCACAATCCAAACTTGTTTGCTAATATTGCCGAATAGAACAATGAGAATTCAAATTAAAGAAAATTGCATGGACACTGTCTTCTAATTGATAATGGTATTCTACAACAGAGCTTTATTTCCTCGTTTGCAGTAACGTAATCCACCCCTACGCGAGTAAGGTACCAGTTTCCGGTTCGGGTTATTTTCGCCACGATAATTACGAGAGAAATCAAAAAGCATTTAATTTGGAAAACATTTTAATGCGAGTTTATACACATGATGAAAATTATTTTTATTGTTTATATTTCATATACAATTTAAATTACAGATAATTGGCTTAATTTATTTGTTTTAAACTGAGTGTGTTCGTTAAACCATGGTTCACAGTCTCATGATCATTTGACTTGAGAATATGATTATTAATTATTTTCATATGAATAATTGGTAGTTAAAAGTATAATGAGTGAATTTTTTGTCAAGAGACTTTAGTCGACTCCTCGAAAAGGACAATAATTTCGACGTCTCCATCGAAATTGGAGTCGAACCTGATAAAAAAAGTTTTTAAAGCCCACTCGGTCACTCTTCGTACTAGGTTCAGTTATTTTGATCGCGCACTTTTTAACAAATGGGCTTAAGTTGGAGATGGATTAATTAAATTTCGCCAGCTATTTTCTCGGTTGCGAAATCTATTTTTGTAAAGTTAGTTATATGTACGTAGTAAGGACGGCTATTCATATAATTGTTATTGTAAGGACGGTTATTCATATAATTGTTATTTTATATGGCGGCAAAATTTCGCTCAACCAACACAGCGCTTCACTCATTATTGAGATGCTAGTTGCTGCCGACGAATTCAATTTCGAAGATATTTTCGAAGATATTTGATTGATAATATGCTCATCTTGATTTTAAGCATAGTTCTTTTTGTATGGATATTATTCTCAGAACCCGAAAAAGTATTTCAATCCAAAGATTTTGAATTGCTTCAAGAAGAAATTCTATTACGAAATTCACATTGAATAATCCGATATCTGGAATTTGGTACATGTAATTGATTGGGCTCACACATAATCCGAATTTGCCTGATGATGCCTGCAGAGAGCAATTTAAGGCCATGAAAAATACCGATACGCTCGAGCTTTGCCGCTTATTCATTATTTTGAAATTTCATCAGAAAATTTTTTTACCTTATCCCCAAACCATTTAACTCATAATATTCTAGCTCCAGATCAACCTCTACAGTAAATACATGTATTATGCTATGCCAGCACGACGAGGAAATATTAATTCAAAAATCATCAAGCCGCTCTTAGGATTGACTGAACTCGTGAATTACCGGTTTTCCTTATCTGAAAATCCTTATGAATTCAAACTTTTATGAACTTTCTTCGCGAGCTCGGCAAATTTTTAGTATATGAATTTGAAGTCTTTCAGATTATCAAAAAACAATTAGTATAAAAATTTATGTCAAAACTTGTCTAAATTTTTATTTAGAAAATAATTTAGAACATTCTTTATAAAACACAAATGTTTTGTCTAGTTCAATTCTATAACGAATTGACAGTTCCGTTAGTTTTTTATATCAAATTACTAATAGTCCGCTCCTCTTTCTATAACGATAACGAACTAATAGAAAATTTAAAGTTAAGGTTCGTTACGTTATTTAACAAGGAAGGAGAAAAGGCAAAGAAACCATCTAACAAAGAACTTTTTTGGAACGTTATAATTGTTCTCTTGATCAACTAAATCAATTTTAAGGTTAATATTTCGAATTAATTATTGAATTTTCGCCAAACCATTCTGATGGGAAGAATGTCCAAATAGTGCCCAATAAGGCCATTATAGAAGATATGACGAGAAGAAACACGTTCCAAATGAATTCGTTTCTAGACATTTGCCAACCAAATAACTTCATATGTGCCATTAACGGGAATATGCCCGAGATCATGAAGGAAAAGCACGAACCAAGTAGAGACTATGCAATTATTGGAAAAAAAATTAAAAACCAAGAAAAATTTCGACGAAATTCAATTAACTACTTACCAAAGCTCGATCAAAATCCGGAAAAACAATCGCTGTAGTCACTATAAAACCGCTTAAAAGTGTTCGCAATACCATCCTAGAGATATATCTTCTTTTTTGAGGGCTGAAAAAGTAATGCATATATGATACTCTAGAGACTGATATTTCTAATGCTTCATTTATCGGTTGTAAGCCTAGTGGGTATTTGCTGAATGGATTTATGACTATAAGCCAGACGACGAAAGAATTTACCAAGACGTTGTATCCAGGTGTGCTCATGATATTCTGCGTAATCTGAATACGTATAATGAATATTTCGGTATTTCATTAGTAATATGTATAAAGGTACATCAAGTTAGCAGATTTTGATTTTGATACCTCTTCCATTGTTTGATTTCCGAACATTAGATAACCACCAATAGCAAGCGTTAGGTAAATAACACCAACAATCAAATAACTTATATTCACTGACGCTTCAACACTTTGCGGTTTCTTCATGTCACGATATATCGATGGCAAAACAGCATGCCCAGTGAATCCAGCATTTATTAAACCAAATGTCAAAGGCACAGCCATCCAAGTAGTCGGGAACAATGTCGTCTCCATCGGTTCTATCAAACTGCCGGGTGCAGTCGGCTTCGATAACCCATCATAGATGACAACACTCACAAGCGATGATGCCGATATGATTCCAAGAAGCGAAGTGTAGGATAGCATGTGCACGGGCATCCAAGTTGCTGGAGTGATTAGGACAAACGAGATTATTTTGAGCATGGTCAAGTCTACGTTTGGATACAGTGTCTTGAGTGAATCGCCAATGAGGATCATCAATGCAACTCTATATCAGATAAAGAAGATTATCACCCTGCGAATGAAAAAATCGAAAAAATAATATAATACTTGCGTGGCGGTCAATAAATCCAATAAGAAAAAAATGGCAACAACCCCTCTAGCTTTCTTGCCAAACGCAAATTCTGCAACATCAACATAAAATCTCGATGACGGATCCAAGTTCATACATTTGGCGAGAGTTTTAGCCGTGTAATTTGTCAGGATCAAACAGAAAACGAAAATTGAGATGCCAAGTATCCATCCACAATATTTGAAAGCAAGTGGTAAAGATAAAATGGCTATGCCCATTAACATATTCTATTTTACGACAATATACATAAATTAGAAGTTCATAGGAATTCGCAAGTATAGGTGATAGACATACCACTGAATTAAAAACAGTCTGTGCCATATTCGATTTTCCATGATACAAATCCTGCTCAAACTGTTGTGGCTGTAGCGACGACGCTGTCGATGGTTGTAAAGGACGATGATTGTCAATCAACGGAGTTCGTTCGTCCAGAGTTGGCAGATCAAATCTTGGTGTTTCCGGAATTTCATTTTGACTTATTGGAAATGCACTACCAGCAGCTTTTGGCTGTGATCCAAAATTTGCGGCAAATTGTTGACTACGAGAAACTGAATTTGCCCATGAACGTGTTATTGATGATACGCTACCAGCATCATCCCCTCCTTCTCGTCCATTATTTGGTATTGGAATGGCAGACGATGCTGCCGCTGGATTCATATTTGTTGTTTAGTTATTTCTTAATTTTTTTACTTGAATAATTCTACTGATATTAATTACCCATTTATATAAACAATAAAATAGGGGCTAATTTATCACGCATAAACGATTCTAAAATGCTATTGCTAAATGCAATTTAATGAGATAAAGGAGAGACTGCGTACATTTACGTATTATTATTACATGTAAATGTCATAATCGTTATCGTTTATCTTCAGCGGAGTTCTCACGGTTCATGTAATTTGTGTTACACAATGCACAAAAGGCGAATAATATTAACTGCGTCTTTATCATATTATTGAAGTACAATAACATTGACATAAATGAACTTCAATGGTTTGCACATGAACACAACAGAATACGTAGAATTATAACACTAGCGAGTTGACAGTTTCTCCCTTTACTAAACCTGTTGTTAAATATATTTTGAGAAGATAACTAGACGTGAAACTTGAGTATGAAGATTTTCAGTCAACCAATGTTGTCGTCGATAATAACATCAATTTTATTTACGATTTTACGAGCTCAGTATTTATTATTAAATTTCCATAACTATAGAAGAAAAACGATTGACAATGGTTATCGTTATCGTTATCGTTATAATAATTATGCATTGTCCAAGCCATGATCAAAATCTTCCGAACACAAATTAATGTTAAGTTTTAATCTTGAGTATATTATTTGTCCCTAAATTACTGAAACAATCAGGAAGTTTGAATCCTCCGCTCCAAGAAACTTAATATTCTATCGAGAATAAGAATGATGGCGACAATTTTGGATGTCCCGAGCTCAATTTCACACTTTAGAAAACATAAATTGAATACTTACGTATTTACTCAGCAATGCAATGCTTGATTGTTTTTAGATGGAGAATAAAGTCCAGACTGAATAATAAATTTTGTTGTTAGAGTTTGATTGCCCGACATTAGGCGAGATATTGGTTGAAAAAACCATCAACTGGCATAATGAAGATTGAGTTTGAAATTTGAATCGAGTTTTGAATCATTTTTCTTTTTATTATCGTTATGTTATAAATCTTAAAATGATGCTTTTTCTTTTTGGAAGCAACGACAAAGCACATTACAACTGATTTGAAATTATCGGTTTCGATTTTGGTGACAAATTTACAATTTTTTTAATGAAAATAAGTTAAACAAAAATCTAAATCTGAATTCAATTACAGATTGTATTCCTACTTGAAGACCAAAACAAACACCACATACTTTCAATTGATGTCCAGCTTCAAACATTGCCAAAAAATGAATTTAAAGTACTTATTAATAAATTTTGATGTTGTTATATTATTTTTGCTATTATATATAAAAAGTACTAAAAACAACTAAAAATTATTATAGTTGATAGTATAATACTGAAAAATAGCGTTTTATTTGATAATTTTGATATAATATTCGAATTAATTCATTTACAAAAGTAGTTTTATAATCAGATACTAATTTTTTCAGAAATCAATATTAATAAATAATATCGTTATATAAAAATAAAATAATTATTATAGTAATAATATTAAAAATTCCTCTAATTTTATTTATTTAGTATTGTAATTAATAATAATTATTATATATTTATTTTAATTATTAATAAGTATTAATAATTTATAATAATCTTTTCAAATAATGATCGAGTTTCAATTAAATTATTATTTTATTTATCTTTTATTAATATATATGATAATATATTATTTCTATCTTATAAATATAAAAAAATATTATTTAATAAATATTCAATAATTTATTTTAGATATTTTAAGTTTAATTATTATTAGTTAATTATTTGAATCATTTTAATTTATTTAAATAATATCTAATTCTTGATAAAATAATAAATAATTTTACTTTTAAGTTTTTATGACTTTTTTAAATTCAATTTTTTTTGATAATTATAATATATTTGAATATTTATTAAATAATATTTTTTTATATTTATAAGTTTAATTATTTTTAGTTAATTATTTGAATCATTTTAATTTATTTAAATAATATCTAATTCTTGATAAAATAATAAATAATTTTACTTTTAAGTTTTTATGACTTTTTTAAATTCAATTTTTTTTTGATAATTATAATATATTTAAATAATTAATAAGTTAATAATATTAATTAAATTTAGTATATCAAATAAGTTTTGTTCAAAATTAGTTATTCAGTTAATTATAAAAATTATTTTTATTAAAATTAAATGATTTATTAATATAAATTAAATTTTGTTGATCTATAAAAATTATATTTATTTATCTAATATAAGTTTGTAACTCATAATTTATATAAAGAATTTCATAAATATTATAATAACAAGATTCTCTGTTTTATTATTATAATATATACGTATATAATATTTTTTTAAGTATATAATATATAAAATACATAATGTTAAATTAGATAAAAGATAATTAATAATATAAGTAGAAGAGTAAATATTATTTTTAAAGATAGTTAATTAATATATATTTAGATCGTAAACAATTAATAATTTAATATTTTTTTACAATTAAAATAAAAAATATAAATAAATTAAATAAATATGACTTTATAAAAATAATTATTAACCAATTAACCAATTAATTATTTAATAAAATATAATAAAATATTATTAATAAAATAAAAAATGTACTTGATATAAATTCTTTATACATCTTTTTAATTATTGGCATAGATGTGGATATTATTTGATAAACGAGTACGTATTTATTTGAACATGTTCATAACGTGTAAAATACCATCACGTGTTATTTTTTTACATATCGATATCGGTATATCGATATTACTTTTGAGATTATACATATTTTATGAATGCATCATTGACGTCGTCGTTGCTATTCTTAATTTGTTGCAGAATTGTCATCATTTACTTACTATTTTTGCTTATACGTAGTTAGAAAAAGCTACAAGGTAATTATGTTTCATCAGTAATTATCCAGAGAAGTGGATTTCGTTTGTTAAAATGCTGACGTGCGGTACAGAATATACTCTTGCATTAATTCATAAACAATAACTTTTTAACGTGCATATATCGATATTATTATTAATCGCCTTTCCATTTAATGTGCAATACACATTTGGAAATAAACATAACCAGTAATATTGTATCTATCGATTTGGTATTAATTCAATTAACTAATTAAATAAAATAATAAATGACACAGAATTCAAATTTTAATAGCTTCATAATAAAAAATTACATGTACTCTAAAATAAGCAAAATATAAAATGATTTCAATAGGAACTATAAAATATTTTTAACTCAAAAAATTATGTTCAAAAATTACATAGATTCTTTTTTGTGCGTCATTACTGCCATTTTTAGCTGCAGTCTTATAACATTTTATAGCTTCATTAATATCTTTAGAAGCACCAGTCCCTTTTTCATAACATATACCAAGACTATATTGTATATCTGCATCTTCAGCCTCTGCGTCTTCAGCCTCTGCATCTCTAATCTCTGCTGCTTTCAAAAACCATTTGAATGCTTTTATCTCATTTTTTTGTGTTCCCGTACCGTTTCTATAACACCAACCAAGATTACATTGTCCTCTCGCGCTTCTACCCTCGGCTGATTTCAAATACCATTCGAATGCTTTTTTATCATCTTTTTGTGTTCCAACTCCTTCCTCATAACACGATCCAAGATTGTTTTGACCTTGATGATCTCCATTTTTTGCTGATACCAAATACCACTTGAATGTTTTTTCCTCGTCTCTTTGTGTTCCAATTCCTTTATCATAACACCAACCAAGACTACATTGTCCTCTTGCGCTTCCACCCTCTGTTGATTTCAAATACCATTCGAAGGCTTTTTTATCATCTTTTTGTGTTCCGATTCCTTCCTCATAACACGATCCAAGGTTGTTTTGACCTAGATAATCTCCATTTTTTGCTGATTCCAAATACCACTCAAATGCTTTTTTCTCATCTTTTTGTGTTCCAATTCCTACATCATAACACCGACCAAGCCTACATTGTCCTCTTGCGTTTCCACCCTTCGCTGATTTCAAATACCATTCAAATGCTTTTTTAGCATCTTTTTGTGTTCCGATTCCCTCTCGATAGGCATATCCTAAAAAGAGCTGAGCTAAAGAGTTTTCACTTGATAACTCTATATAAATGTTCAATGCTAATGCAACATTCTTTTCAACTATGGATCCAGTTTGATAAAGAAACCCTAAAAGTAGCTTATATTGAGCATTATTTTTCAAATAGTTTTGTATTTCAAAAGAATGCTGACCGCATAACTCGTAATACGATTGTAGTTCAGCGCCTATTTTATTTAACTTTTCCTCTTTATTGAGTAAATCGTTTAATAGAGTTACTAATTTGTCGATTATTCCGCGATATTTATCATTTGAGATTTCATTTTTGGCGGTCAAATCTTTATCCGTGTCACAATCCAGTTCTGGCAAATCTTGAAATATCACGTTGTTTGATTCTGGTGTGCATTCGATTTCATTAGGTTGTTGATTTGCTTCATAAATATCAGGTCGAATTTCAGGTAAATTGTCATACCATGCTTGGTACAACACAACGTAAACTGGTTTCTCTTTCTCATTAGATAAACTTAAGGCTGAATTTAAAGTTTTAATTGAATAGCCTAAATCCGCGTTTTTAATTTTTCCCTTGTGGGTGAGGACGCTATTATGATTCTGGCATCCAAAAATTTTAGAATTAGCACAATATTTAATAAAATTCATTACATGCTATGCTTACCAAATCACGATGAATTATGTCTGAATTATGTATACTTCTTAATCCTTGCACGATTTGTTTTGCTAAATTTAACTTTTCATTCCCAGTCAAGTTGGAAAAATTTATGTATAAATAATCATCGGGAGTTTCATACTTCATAATAATCACGTGGTATTCTAATTTAAAAGGATTTATATTAGAAATAATCATGAAGCTGCAACTATGTATATATTTGTTTACCTTTAGTGTTTCCGTAAAAAAATTTCAACTAAGAGATATTTGATGTCATGTGTGAATTTTGTAAGTCTTTAATTATTAGTTGATTTTGCTAAATATGATAAATACCTCGTTGATAACTTTCTTATTTGTTTCTTCGGTGTGTTTCTCATCACTTAGATAAAGACTCTTTAAAGCTACAATTGAATCTTTGTTCTTCGGTTCTTCACCAAACGCTACACATCCCGTGACTCTTTTATCGAAAAATTCACTAAAATCGAAAAATCTTATTTGATTTTCTGTTATTGCGGATTTTATCCATTTATTTCCTTTAAATACATGTAAAAATATTGGACTTTTTGCATTCATATTTGACATTGTGTTTGATTTGCGTAATTTCGTCAAAACTGTTTAACGTTGATACGAACATGTACGTACTTATTAAATGTATAAAGTGTAGTTACACGGGGGTAATTTACATGACATGTAATGTAACGATACGTAATTTCTATTTTTGATTGGAAATCAAAAAGAAAATGAAAAATACCGATACAGTGAGTTGAGTTGCAAACTACGTAATCCTGCGCCAATTTTGAAATTGCAGATCTATGGGTGTAATACATGTACATGAACATGTATATGTAGACAATGAGCAGGAGGAGTCAGCATCAGGTAGGAATCACATGGTCTGACACTTTTTTACCACTAAAACGTAAAAGGACAACGTCAATGTAATCTTAATTTGCGTTAGGATAAAAGAATTGTTACTAGATAATGAGCAAAAGCATTATTGGCTGTCCAACAATTCCGACTTCAATCCGATTAAGCTTATTATCTTGAAGGAATTTCATGGCTACATCAGTCAAGTGAAGACATTTCAATATACGTATTCGTTTTAAAAAAACGAACGACGACTCAAAAATTCGAAAATAAAATGCATGGCTTACATGTTCGGACATATTCGCCTGTTCATTTTCAGTCTTACTTACAGTCTAAGAATAAAGTCAACTTTCGATGAAATCTAAAAATTTTACCCATATTTCTCAATTAAGACTAGCAGCAGCAATATCATGTTAAATATTTTGTTAAAAGTTGAGAAACAAACACTGGTAAAAATATTCTTTGTTTGATAAATTAAATTAATATTTAATGTGAGACTGGAATATAGAATATTATTATCTATTTCCGTTCATTTTGACCGTTTGCCATAAATGGCTGTTGCATAAAACCCATAATTCCAACAGGATCAAATCAATGCAATTACAAATACCGGATATAAACAAATTCAAATATTCGTAAACATCCAACTTTTGCAGGGTGAAAGCACAAATTTATAGGTTGCGTTCGGTCATATACTGTATGTGCGTTTTAGGGAGATGTACGATTTTGAGACCATTTGTTGTATTTAAAGATAAAATAGGCGCAGTTTTGCTGACGAAAAGTGTTACCAGCAAATAATACGAATGTGAGAAAAGACCATTTTGTACAAATCTTTGTAAATTAGTGAGTTGAAATTTTTTTAAAGGAACTTTAAACTGATAATTCAGTATGATTTTGTGAATTAAATTGTTAGCGTATCGAAGAGCTCATTAGCAGACTTATGGATAATGAACTACCTATGAATTACATAAAGGTCTTTCATACCGCAAAATTCTATGTTATTAAAATTACTAGCTCTTAATGATATGATTGGTTTATCAGCATTCATATTGTATAAGCAACATAATAGAAAATTAATACATTAAACTATCAAATAATATTTGTGCTGCTGCATGTCTTTATATTATCAAATGACAGCGTTGCATTCAAATGATACCCATTATTTTTTTGTGGCGAAGTTCAAACTAGCAATTGGATGCCTATCACTAGTCCTATTGAATTGTTCTCTATTTTTAAGTATATGTAATACATGTATATTTTAATAATATACCATTGTTTTCTATAAAGAGTCATTTCAAAACTCAACATTTATACGTATGGCTTGGACAATGCATAGATCATCTGATTTGTGAATGGTAGAGTTGTACACATCAATAACGATACTATGACACATTAGGAAATAGATGTTTCTCTTAATGAACATGTATTACCATACACTTAAAGCTCCACTATCACTATCACTGTGTCGAGAAAGAGCCTCCACTATAAATAAATTTACTATGTATACTATTGTATATGTACGCATCAATAACGATAATATGACACATTAGGAAAAAGAGGCTTCCCTTAGTGTACATACACTCAACGTTAACGTGTGTGGAATGATGATCAATTATTAAACTATTTTGTATTATCAGTCAAAGAAAACAGATTGGTTTTCATAGTTCATTTCAGTATAAAAGAATAGCGAGAGCAATATTGAAAGTTAAATTCTCCAAACACAAATCAAACGATACATATCGATATTCTAATAAAATTTACTAAACAACAAAAGAACAAACATGTCAGTCAACTCCCGAAATCTCTTTTTCCTTTGTATATTGGTCGTTCTTTCATTGTTCAGTGCTCTCGAAGCATTCAATGTTCGTCGTGTCCCAGGTAATATATAGCGCTTAAAATTCGCATTCTAATTTGCCTAACAGAATTTTGTATTTGTGCAGAACTCGGTGGTGGTTTTTGTAAAGAGTGTGTACTATGTGCTGATGTTGTTGTTGAATGTCGTCCCGATTCATGTCCTGGTCAAAGGTGTTGGGTTATACCACAATATTGCTGTGCGTGTGCTAGCACTTACTGTTACTAAGCGATGAAAAACATTTAATATACCTACATGCATCAATAACAATAGATAATTATTAATTTAAATATACATGTACTACCATCTATGTTTAAAGAGATTTGAATTATTGAATGGTGAAGTACACTTCAATAGTAGCAAACTGTTTCCATAAGCTAAATATAAAGAATATCACAAAATCTTAATAGCTTATACATGTATCTAGTTAATCTTGCATTGAAAGCCAGATATTTGTGTGGATTTGGACGATTCAAGAAATAGCTCTAGTCAAAATTCTAATGCATCTGGACCTCGAATCATTTTGTCGCAGCACATAAGGCGACCACATCCCTTGACTATATCATTCATGTTAATGCAGAATGAAATAAAATATTTGTACATGTAGTAATAAAAAACTAAATGATTCATAAACTTCTATTAAGCTGTTATGTCCCTCTTGAAATTAATATTCACAATCATCTTCAATTCTCGCTTATTATATGTAATCGAATAATATCGCAAATTGGTGTGTTTTTGGATTTTAGATTTTCAGGTCCTTCGTTAAAGCAAAATAATTTTTCAAATAAACTTGGTAAATATTAAAAATGCATCCGCAGTAGGCAAGTTATCAGTTTATTTACTTTACTTAAATTGCATAATTATTTTTTTTGAGCTTCTAAGCAAAATTAATTAACGTGAAATTGGAAGATAAGTTACATATTACAAAAAATATAATTATTTTGATAAAAAATGAGTAATTTCATTTAAACCATTGAAATTGAGATTATATTACATGTATAAAGTTACTAATCAAATTTATAAATTATATTATTATGGATTAAATTTGTTATTAAAAAATAATAATAAATTGTACTTAAACCACATAAACTGCAAAACAGCAGCATTCGATATACGTACGTACGTATATCGAACATATGAACTGCAGAAATACCTGCAGATGATGTTTTCTATAAACAAATTTATAAAGATGAATGGTCTAGCGAAGTAAAGTCCAAGGTAAATCAAATATCTTGTTTTATACACAATAATTCTTGGTAAAAAAAGTAACTGTTAAGCTTTATAAAATGACAATCTCGATTTTACATTTTTTTTCGACACTTCTTAAAATTTTTGTATAAATAAAATCCTTACTACATGTAGTTTTAACGTGTTTAACACATGAAAACGCTGAACGTACATGTAGAACCTCATTTTAATATTTTGTGTACATGTACATGTACTATGAAACATGTACGTATACAATATGAAACCTTTGCATCACGATAAAAGTAATTCATAGAAACAAGCAAAACAAATACATGTAAATAGAAAGCCGTATAAAAAAGATAATAGTTTACTTCGTGGCTTTTTTTTGTAAATAAATTTATTAAAATATATATTACTATCTATTGTATGAGATTCGGAATCTTTTATTATATCACGCTGGACGTTTTTAAATGGGATAATTCGAAATACCTTTTATATGTTCAAAAAAATTTACGAATTAATTTACTTTAAGCAAAAAAGCAATGAAAAACGTATACTTATTGTTATTATTATTATTGATCATTAATACAATCGTCGCAATCTCTTTAAAACGACAAAATTGTGCTGCCATTCGTATAACTTCGCCAGCATCAGGAGGGCTGCAAATGACCAGCGGTAGAAATCGATATTTTATTTTCGTTAGCTTTTTTCTTTAATTTCTTAATTTTCTAACTATTAAAAAAACTTCGATAGGCCAATGTTATCAAGTCTCCTTTGATGCAGCTAGTGCAGCACATGACACCATTTTAATTACCAATATTGATTTAATAGATATCAATGGAAACATTATTCAAACTCAATGGATTGGTGAAATTGATCCAAAAGTGCAAATGTACACACCATACTTCAATTTGAATCTTGGTATAGTTCCTGTTACTGGCTACTATGCATTCCAACTTACTGCGTCAGTTGATGGGCAGACTTGTATTCTAAATAGTGTCGTATTTGAAGGAATTTATAATTCCAATAGTTCTGTAACGAAATGTCCTTGATATATTTTTTATTGATTAAATTGTTTTTTACGATAAAGAAACGATATCAATATCGATATCCAGCAATTTACTGTAAATAAAAGCAACACAGCTAATGCTAATGTATAATTCCAGCAATATTCATATAATTGAAGACAACGCTAACGCTAATGAGCACCAGATTTGTGTACTGTGATAGAAAAATTGTCAGAATAGAACCTAATACTGCCGCTAAACTGGGAATCTCTTAGTCTTGTATTTTGAAACTTTGGATTCTAATATTTTTTCGTGTACCATACTAGATAATACATGTAATACATATGACAATGGCGACAAGGAATCCATCGAAAAATCAAAAATTTACTTGAGAATGGAATCGAACTCGTGCATAGGTTAATTAACGGAGAATTTAACGAACTTGCAATGAATCACTTTGAGATTGTGCGATACTTGATAAGTTCTCGTCATCAACATAATCCTCAATATATTACACTCTTGGACTTTCTTCGCTTTAATGGAATTCCTTTCAATTATGATGTTAGAATGTTATGAAAAGCAGCGCTAAACACGCAATATTTACTTGCATATTATTATAGGTACTCGTGAAAAGAAAAGCGTAGGCATAAAATAACTTTGGAATTATTTACGCAATCAGCAATGAATAGCTATCGAGACAATTTATTGGAATAAGAAAGCATTCTATCAGACTCAGAGGGTGGATATGTCGAAGCTCAGCCTTGTTTCTTACAGGTACATGGTCTAGGTGCAAATAAAGATTTTCACGAAGTATTGAAATGGCGGCATGCAAAAGCAGAAGAAATTTTTACATTATTTCACAATCAATTAAGAAATAATAACAATTTATTTTTACACATTGATCTCGATTAAGAGATAAACTTACATTTATAATTAAGTTATACATGTAACAAGAGCTGTTAGTATTAAAAAAACCAATACACTAAATATTATTTATGTATATTGATTATTTAAATACAGTCAGAGCTGGTTACAGTAACATTCTTTATAATAACATGCTGATTATAGTAATATGATTTGCTTGGTACAAAAAATTTTTTTGTATTAATTATTATTGGATAAAGTAACCTTAATAATATTTGGATAAAGCTCTGGAAAAAAATTATTGGTATCAATAAAGCAGTTGTGTTTAAGAATTTGGCAATATAAAAGTATCCAACTTTCTTCCCTGTTTCTTTTTACATTTTCTACAATTCCAAATCTATTTAGTTGAAACCTCTTTTGCAGATGTTCCAAGTTCTGTCGAAAACGACAATAAGCTTAGAGAAGGGTCCCAAAATAATGTGATCATTAGTAATATAATATTCAATAATGTTCGTGTTATCTCGATGTACTTGAATCTCCAGAGCCGAATACAGATCCACTGTTGTAGCAGAAAGCTAATGCTCTTCGCTTTCCAACCGTAACTTTAATGGCTGCAGATTGCTTTGCATTGCAAACCAAGAGTGTTCCTTGCAAACGTGCCTTCTCTGCGGCAAAGAACGCTCTTGATCTTGAAAGAAACAGTCTTCTTGAGAAAATAACAAGAATTTTAATATGTTTGAAGAGTTGGTTGGATGTCAATATTTTAGAATAGATGAAAAATTAACATAAAATAAATAAATAAGCATTATTGTTATGTAAATGATATTTTACATAGCTAAATAAATTCATATTATAATAACTATTACAGGTGTACGCGAATATAATTATGTGTGTTTGAGTCTGTCTTTGAAACTGAACCTCAATAAAAACTCAGTTTTGACTAAATCAGACTTAACCCATTACAATATCCTCTCATCTATTACAATACCTCTTTATATTATATCTATATTTATGTTAGTAATTATTTCTAAATTTTATATTATTTTAAAGCCAATCAACTATATTAAATAAAAGAACTATTTGTTATATAATCAAAAAAATTTTTTATATGTATTTTACTATATAATTTTAAAGCATGCATTACTTTTTTGTGGGTATTATATAAAGCTCTGTTCGGGTCGGATCGGATCGAATTTGAGGTCAACCCGAACCGATAATTTCGGGTGGGTCGGATTCGGATCGGGTTTGATCCGAAAATCGTAAATTAGTTTTTCGTTAATAACTTTTATTTTTACTAAGACA